CATGGCAATACGCCTGAATTGCAAGCCGACGCGCATATACAACAAGCGGCGAACATGAAAGTCCGTGCAATGAAGCTTTACAGCGCGGTTAGGCGGTGGAGAAATACTTTTGGCTATGTGGAAAAACGATACAGTACTATGTATACACATGCATAATCAAACAATATACGTAGGTCACACCCACGGACTACCCGGGTCCTAGTTTAGTATTAGTAATTTTATAAATAGAGCAAAGTCGATAGCGCGTGTTGTTCACGACTATACTACTATACTGCTTGAGCTTCAAATGAATATGTGAAGGGGGTTTTTTTTCCATGACATATACACAGCGCGATATATGCTGCGCGAACATTCAATGCCGCCAAGCGTGTATACTCGTCTCATATTCCAGTCGCCTCAAGTCCAGATATATCGAATCCTACCGTGTCATAAATAACAACAATAACATCATATCAATATTAAAAGAGCTTATAATATGTAGTACCTCAGCAACGGATTTATTGGAATCAACCTTTGTCGGCATATCGGTTATGGTAACAGGAACACTGTTAGGCATAGACCATACAACCTTTATTAAAGTATTCGCTAATCACAGTCTATGCGAACAATGAACGTCTCCAGTGTACTGTTTACTGTGGTATAGTCAGCCAGCATGTCCATGATGGAACTACTATACCATGCCTCTGTTACCAGTGTCAAGTCCGGTCATCGTCCCAATCAAGGGACCCACTTTCCTGACTGGCATATTGAAGAGGTCTGGTCTTTGACAATAGTCAAATCCGCTTTGGAGAACATTAGCAAATGAATGGTTTCGGTCTGAGTATATGTTGCTGTGCTTTGAATCATCGTGTCGACCATGGTGGCTCCGGCTGTCCACAGAGGGTCTTGAGCACGGCAGAGGACTGTAGATCGAGAGATATGGCGTTAGTGGCTGGTGGATGTTGCAAGTATATATATCAATGAGCCGCCCGAAATGTTAATTTGGCTCTTGACCACGTCCCGTCGAATGTTGGTGCCAACGATATTAATGTTGAGGAAAGTGTTGCAACAATGTTGAAAACTACTCCTCCACGGGTGGATGAATCTGTACGAATCCGACGCCATACGGAAGCCAAGAGAGTGCCCTCTGATGTTGGGGCTGTTCCATTGAATGCTAGGGCCGCGCCATCGAATGGGAACGTTACACCAAATTTCGAGAACAATTTTGGAGACCTTATATCTCAACAACGGCTGGACGGATCTTACGTTCACGATACCAAAAGATACCTACTGATGTACTCTTGAAAGATCTAGCCGTTGCCATTGCTAACGACGCTCCTATCGTACAGCACTTAGCCGATGTATTACCAGCATCAAAGAAGAAAGTTATTTCGAATTTTACCGATCCGAGATTCGAAGTTTGGACCTCCTGAAATAGCTGCCAGAGGTACGGTTGGTGCTGCAAACGCAGGTTTCAATTTATACCGCTTTGAA